TGCCTGGTCACACTGTACGCAGCTCCTGCTTAGGCCAGCTCTAGGCCCAAAGAAGAAGAATGGCAGTGTAGTTGCAGGCTAGTGTTTTTCTCGCATCTGTGCAGCTGGGGGAACTTAGGAGTCTCAATTCCACCCCACGCTACAGTTCTGAGTCTTCTTTTGCACATACCTTATACAGGAATTCAACTGTCCACTGGCTCACTCATTATTGCACTGTGCCTCCGGCTGGGGGTCTGAGTAAAATGGTCAGTGCTGTGGAGGGCAGACCAGGCAGTGGAAACACACGGTCCCACGGCCACCAGGGAAAAGGTGATGCTCCTCCCAAAGTGAACATCACGTGAGCGGGGTCTTCAGTGCAGCTAAAAACGATGGGCTTAGGTACTAACATGTGCAAGTTGAAAATACCATAAATTTAAACATGTACTAACTGCACATGTTTGGATGCTCAGACCTTAGCACTCCTAGGTCCAAAAAGAATAAGGCAGCAGTGTGCCTAAGTGCACGGCTACCACAGCCTACTTAGCCCAGCTACAGAGCACACTGGAAGGGCGTGATCATCTCAGTAGACACATGGGTTGGCTGGGGGTTATGGCTCTTGACACTGCCCATCACAGAGAGAGCGAAGGGAGGGAGAAAGAGCACATAAGGCTAGCCTGGGGAAACAAAAGGCAAAATTTCAGTAGTTTCTTATTTGTGTTGACCAAAAGAGCCAATTCTAGCAAAATTAGAGCATAAATTCAGGTTTTCTGAGGGCAGCACTTCCACCTCACAGGAGGGGGGTCAGTGAAGTCACCATGCTGAGCGAGACAGAAAAGCTGGGGCGTGAGCAGAGAAAGCAAGGTGCACAGGGCGGGGGGCGGGGGGGGGGGGGATGCTGAAAGAGATAGGGAATCAAATAGTCTGGATTATATGAAGAGCCTCTGCAGGAGACGAAGCTCTGCCCCTGGGCGGGAAAGTTCAGGATGGAGGGCTAGGCCAGCCATGCCCTAGAACAGGCAGGGACTGCTATGCTGACCTTCCCAAGGAACCATCCTCCCACCAGCTCTAAGACACTGACTCGAGCTCTGCTGCAGGGGCAGCGCCTCTCGGCGCGAAGGCCTGCTCGACCAGGAAGGCCTGCACTAGCTGCTTAGGGAAAGGGCCCAATGGCCTCGGCAGGCCTGCCCCCTTACCTGCACAGGTGCCAGTCCTTGAGGTAGAGGCAGCCCCGCGGAGAGGAGCAGCCTCCTTGGTTGTACTCCTTCCAGTAGCTGATATAGTCACGGAACGGCATGTGCTCCTTGGGGTTTGAATTGTATTCCCGCACTCCACAGTTAGCAACCGGTACAACCACGTCTCCTGCAGAGAGAGGGTCCGCACAGAAGGGGCAGAGTCAGACCTGCGGTTCACCCACTTCGGCTCCGGGCGCCCCCGGCCGAATTACCGAGATTCTACTCGTCTGTCCGGCCCCGGACGCCCTCCCATCCCGGGGTCCCTGCCTCCGTCTGCGCCCTCCTACCATACTTGTGCAGCAGGTACTCGAAGTCAGGCTTTCCCTCTGGCGTCACCCAGCGCCGCCGGCTGCCCCAGGCCTCGGTGAAGGCGCTGGAAAACACGCAGGGCAGGTTAGGCAGCAGGAAGCCCTTGACGAAGTCGGCGTAGGAGAAGGCGTCTGGAGCCCTGATGAAGGTCACACTGCTGGGTGCGGGCCCGTCGCCGCCAGGGACTCGGCCGGGGAGGTTCCGGTAGTGCCGCTCGGCAAAGGTGCGCGTCTCCCGATCCATCCACCGGCGACCCTGTTACCGAAGGCCTATTCTCCCTTCTCACGTCACTCCAAATGGGGAGTAGAGGCGGAGAAACACCCTAAAACCAGTCAGGAGCAGAAACCACAGGGATGGAGCCCGGAACCAGAGACGAAAGGTTCGACATTCCAGTAGGAACTCAAGCCTTGGCGCTTTCTGGACGTGCGCGTGCGCCTTACGGCAGCCCTCCCCTCTGCGCAGGCGCACTCCGCGCAGGTGCGCTCGGCTAGTGGCAGACCGGCTTCCTAGCTGCTGGCGTCTGTATTTGGTGGTCCAGTTGCCCGTGCCCGTGCGTCTTCTGCGCGCACCCCCTGCCTCAGGTGAGCGGTAGTGCTAACACGCAGATAGGAAGTAGTCGAGCCCGCCACCGAGACGGGAGGTGAACCTAAATCCCAAACCTCAAAGGATGACCAGGTCCTGAAGAGATGGTAGGGTAAGGAGCGAACTCTAAGGGTCCGCGGGGCGTGGTGAGGTTCCCGAGTCTTCCGGATAGGATGAGGAGGAACCTTTCCAAGGATTGTGATGTACCGACAAATAGAACGGGGCAGATTAAAAGAGAGAATAGTTTATTTGGGGAAATTCTGAGGTTCATCTAGAGAGGTATGCATTGGGAAGCTGGAAGGGTAGAAGAAGGAGGAGGCAGATGAGTATTCGATCTCACTCGCCCCTTATGGATCTCACTGTGACTCTTGTGGTCAAAGTGTGGACCTCGGTTGAGGCTGGGTCATGGTAGATGACAGCTCATAGAGAAATTCAAGTGGAGAGAAATCTTCCTTCATACCAGAACTCATGGTGCACTCTGTAACCCGCCACTGGGGATGCTGAGACAGAAAGATCCAGAGCTTCTAGTTCAACATGAACCACAAAGCAAGACTTGTCTCAAAAAGAAAAATAGCCGGGTTACAATAACAACAGTAAAAAACTCCAACTCATCCAAAATTCCATCTACATTAGATAATACCACTTTTAGTATTGAGCCAGTTTTTCCAGGAATACATCCGACTACACATTTTATTCCTCCCTACCTGTGTCTAGGGTTCTCTTCTTTCTTTTCCTGCATTGACAGTGTGTTAGGTTTGGAAACATCTTTTTAGATCTTTAATGTACTTCCTGGCATAGCATTCTTAAAGTTCTTTGGTGACATGAGCTGATAAAGGCCATTTTGCAAGCTAATGAGCCCAACACCATTCAATAACCACTAGGGTAGATTCCAGGGGATCTGGTCACTGAAAGACCTGAGCAGGATCAGAGGATGGGGACTTTGAGCCCAGCCCTCGGCTTCTAGGGCTGAAGGTGGAGTGGGTCATCATGGTGTGTCTAATCAGTCATTCCCAGGGAGTGGAATGTCCCTAACACCTCTAGAAGACTCATCCAGGGGCTCCTGGAGGTTGTGCCACAGGAGAGCGTGGGTGGGTCTCCTCATACTAGACCTTTGCATCTTTTTATAACCCTGTAATCTATTTATTTCAATTAGCAATAATCGCGCCTCGGATAAACCTCATTGGCTACGATACTGCCACTGCGCAAAGCTCCTGTAATCTATTTATAATAAAGTAGTAAAGCCAGTAAGTTAGTGTTTCTCTGAGTAATATGAGCTTCTAGGGAATCCAAGTCAAGGAGGGATTGCCGGGACCCTGATTGCTAGGTGCTGGTCCTCAGAAAGAGGGCTGAGACAGCTGGCCTGCATCTACACTGAAGTTCTGATATCTTGGGCGATTGACCCTCCAGCCTTGGGATTTGATGTGATCTCCAGGCAGACATTGTCAGAGCTGAACTGAATTCAAAGATGGTCTTTATCTGTCCAGTGCTCAGGACCCTTTTAGGGCCCCAAAACTCTGTGCTGACTATGATGTGAGAATAGAGGTAAATCATGTAGCTTGTTTATCCCTAAAAGTGTGAAACCCAAAGAGGAATTGCTCTGTGAGTTGTGTATCTGAGATCAATGTCCCTGAGGAAGCTGTCAGGGCCAGCAGGTATATATGCTGTCAAGATCTCTGGGGCAGCGCAGCCTCTAACCCAGATACTGGAACATGAGCTCCTGTGGCCTCTTTAGTGAGTGCTGTAATTCTGTTCTTCACATGATGGCTGGCCTCTGGGCATCAAGTATGTGAGGTCTGGAGAGAGGCCCGGAGCACAGGTGTGTGCCCATGAAGTTGCCCCTCCTGCCCCCCAGCTCGGAACTGTAGTGATGCACATCCTCAGCCACACACAGACCTATGGAAACTGCGCATCCTGAGCAGAGCCACCCCAGAAGCAAACAGGAAAGGGTTGGAGCTGGCTCCCTGGAGGAGAAGAGGTGGAAACGGGATGGTCTCACCCCTTCTGAACGCCTAGAGCAAGCCCTGCAGCTAGGCTGTGGTGTTTGGTTGAAACCTCCTCAGACAGCATGGCTGAGCCTCCCAGGGTGGGGATGGGAACTTCTGAGGGAGTGGAAAGAGGGTCTGCTACAGAGCAGGGGACAGGTAGTGGAAAAAGCCCGTCTTGCCGCCCCCGCTCGGACACACTGTCCCACTGTTCTCCCTCTCAGCCTTCTAGTGGAGGTGTGCAAGGTTGCGTGTTCTGTTCCTTTGGAAATTAGCTAAAAGTAGGCTGCTTACATGCTACTGAGGTTTTCTCAAGGGCACATGTGAGATGGAAGTGCTGAAAGAGACCCATTATGCCAGTTCCAGTGTGTTAGGAGTCACCGTCGAGTGACGTGGGTCTCTTCCCCAAGAATGTCATTTATGTGAATTGGCTTGACACCCAAGGGTGGCCTGCCAGGCCTTCCCACAGTAATTGTGCCTCTCACTTGCAGGGTCCTCTCAGGGCGACTGCTCTGTACCTGTCCTGCTGGAGGCAAGTTACAGCCTTGCAAGACAGAGGCCACACAAAGGATTCAGGACCACAGCGTCCCTGGAGCACACACTCAGCATGTGTGCCCATGGAGTGCCCAAGGCTAGCTTCTCAAAGGTCACCTTTGGCGTACACTTGGAGTTACCTTTGGAAAGCTCTCTGGGAGTGCTGTAGTCGGTGGCTGGCATTTAGGAGGGGCAAAGGGGCTCTGTAAGTAGATGCTTTAAGACAGAAAAGCAATTCAGAGTCAGGACAGTGATGGGCCTTGAGACAGGGGTGGGAAGGAAGGGGCAGCAGAAAGAAGCTCAGAGCCCCATTAGAGTGGGCGCGCTTGGGCTTTGCACTGAGTATGTTAGCAGGGATGCTTTTTCTGATCTGTTTTGCAGTGCTCTCCCCCACTCTGCCAGAACTCAGGGCCTCCCATGAGCCCAGACAGTGCTTTAACCGCCCCCCTCCGCTCCCCAGGATCCTCTATTCTGAAGAGCTTTTAGCAGAAGCATGACATCTTAGCATTCTGTCTCCTGACTGGTTGGTGGTGAATACACTGAGGGGCGGGATGAAGTGAGCAGGTCCTGAAGGAGCTGTGCCAAGAAAGGATGACCCCTCACAGAGAGTGGTGTCACTGTGGAGAGCTGGCAGTGCCAAGTGGGGGTCACAGCCTGTGCCCCAAGCCAGGTCTAAAAAGAGCCCAATAACAGTGGAAAGCAGAAAAGGGGGAGTTATTCAGTATGGCCACCTCGGGAAAAGGACCAAAGATGTAGTGAACCCCCAAGTCCTGAAGTGAGGTTCAATAGAAGGCCAAAGATTTGCATATCTAAGCAGTATAGGTGTGGCCCCTCCATTAGCCCATCCTTGTGTGGACTTCAGTCACTTCCAGTGAGGGGTTCTAACAAGTTGTTAGAATTCCATGAAGTCTCTTTCTGGAAGACAGGTCCCCCTCTGGCTGGTGCCTTTTCTTTCTCCCAGCTTGAGATTTCTTGGGAAATTCACATTTCTTTGGGAATTCCATTGTTTTAATACTCTGATAGATTGAGAGACACAATTTTGTCTTTAAAATATCTTCATTTCTACCAGGCCTGTTAGACCAGGATGTGTTTAAGAGTATGAGGACAAGAGGGATCCAGAGAGACTCTTAGTTCCAACAAAGCTTTTGTTAAAAAAAGAACCACAGAGCCAGGGCCTAGTACCCAACAGATGACAAACTAGGAGCTGGTGGTGGGGTTGGGCACATGGAGATGCCTGTAAGGTGTGTCAGAAAGATGCCCAGCAGGCAACCAGAAGTCTGAGGGGAAGCCTGAGAGCTCATGGACTTGATAGTTGTGATTGGTGAAGCCAGCCTTGCCATGGTACTGTTCCACCTTTGTGTCTCATGGTGGGCGCAGTGAGTGGGAAGGAAAATGGTAACGGGGGGTGGGGTGTATATGTTTTCACTTGGAGATTTGTTGTTGCTGCTGTGTGCTTTTCTGAGACAGGGTTTCTGTGTGTGTGATCCTGTCTGTCCTGGAACTCAGTCTGTAGACCAGAATGGCCTTGAACTCACAGAGATCTTCCTTCCTCTGGAGTGCTGGGATTAAAGGTATAAAGCACCACTACCCAGTTTAACTAGGAGACTTATAATAGGCTAGGGAACTGATGAAGTTGTCAAGGGCAATTCCTGGAAGGAAGCTGTGTCTGAACTACAGTGAGTGGAGAGGTTGGACCACTGCCAGGAGCTAATTACCTTGTCTCAGGCCCATTCCTTGTCCACCTCTGTGTTAGCAATATCCTATGACTAATAGATTGAAGACCTTGGCATCTGTTATCTTGGAAAACCACCCAAGCCTTACCACACCATTACCAGCAGAGAACATCTGAGGCCTTAAATGGTTTGTCCATAGCCACCTCTCAGAACAATCTACTGACACATGATTTTACACTTCCCTCAATTTTTTTCATTCTGTAAAGCTATAAAAGTACATGAAAGTGCTTCCACTCTGGAACATGGAATTTGTGGTATCCTAAATCTGTGTGATGGACCATGCTCACTCAAAATGGCTCCAGAAGAAACATCTGCTATTGTATCTGAGGTGAGAGCTGTGCTTCCTGTGTTGACAGAGGAAATGGGATTGGCTACAACATGTAGCCCGTGTCCAGTTGCCAGAATTTTGTAAATGAGGTTCTTTGGCCGAGCCACAGCCCAGTTAAGTGTTACCAGTGGTTGTTAGTGACAGTGACTAAGACTCATGGCTCCTAGGCCTAAAGTGCTGACCACATGCCCCTCACAGCAGGTTCATAGGCCTGGAGCAAAGGAGAGTGAAATCAGTGATGCTGAGGAGTAGGGACTGGGTGGGGATTGCTGGGAAGGGTCTGGCTTCAAGGGAGCAAGAGCCCCTTCTTGAAGACTTGGCGGGAACAGTGTAGGTCTGAGCAAGTTGGAAGGTCACGGGGTCTAAGCATGCATGGGCAGCTTCTGCTGCCTGGGTGGGCATGGTTTTCTCTTTCTGCCCTT